CTCACCCTCCCGGCTATCTGCTATGGTTTCATCTTCGCTTCCTCACCCTAAACAGTTAGCATCTCTTGATGCTAACAGTGCTACTGATACTTTCTGCTCCACTCTTACATCTTATTTAGACACTGTCTCCCCCTTGCCTTCTGCCCCTTGGCTGTTTGATGTTCTCCGTGAGCATCGTTCTAAGCTCAGGGCTGCTGAAAGGGTGTGGCGCCATTTAAAAAATACTACTGACCTTAATGTGTATCAGTCACTCCTCTCTTCCTTCTCTGTTAATGTCTCCACTGCTAAAAGGACATACTATCATAACAAAATTAACAATTCGTCTAACTCTCGCATGCTCTTTAAAACATTTTCCTCCCTCCTTTGTCCTCCTCCTCCCCCTCCTTCATCAGCTCTAACAGCTGACGACTTTGCCACGTTCTACATTAATAAAATTAAAACGATCAGTGCACAATTTTCCACACCACAATCTGTCAAGCACATCTTACCAGCAAACATACACTCGTTCAGATCCTTCTCTTCACTCTCTGAGGCAGGTCTCCAAACTCAACCTTTCTAATCATCCTACTACTTGTCCGCTTGATCCTATTCCATCTCATCTTCTTCAAGCCATTTCCCTTCAGTTGTACCTGCACTCACTCACATCATTAACACAGTTGGCAAGGGGCATCTCAGGAACCACACTCCAGTGGTTTGAGTCTTATCTCTCAGATAGGTCCTTCAAGATATCTCGGAGAGGTGAGGTGTCCAAGTCACAACATCTATCTACTGGGGTGCCTCAGGGCTCAGTTCTTTGACCACTCCTCTTCTCTGTCTACATGACATCACTAGGTTCTCTCATTCAGAAACATGGCTTTTCATATCACTGCTATGCTGATGACACTCAACTCTACCTCTCATTCCATCCTGATGATCCGACAATAGCTGCTCTCATCTCAGCTTGTCTAACAGACATTTCTTGCTGGATGAAGGACCATCACCTTCAACTCAACATTGCCAAGACAGAACTGCTTGTGGTTTCATCAAACCCATCGTTTCATCACAATTTCACCATCCAGTTAGACACATCAACCATAACTCCTTCAAAAACATCCAGAAACCTTGGAGTTATGATTGATGATCAGCTGACTTTCTCAGACCACATTGCTAAAACTGCCTGGTCCTGCAGATTTGCTTTATTCAACATCAAGAAGACCAGGCCCTTTCTTTCGGAACATGCTTCACAACTCCTTGTTCAAGCTCTTGTTCTGTCCAGGCTGGACTATTGCAATGCTCTCTTGGCAGGTCTTCCAGCCAGTTCTATCAAACCTTTACAATTAATCCAGAACACAGCAGCAAGATGAATTTTTAATGAGCTGAAAAGAATGCACGTCACACCTCTCTTTATCAGTTTGCACTGTCTACCAATAGCTGCTCACATAAAATTCAAGGCATTGATGTTTGCCTACAAAACCACCACTGGCTCTGCACCCCTTTACCTAAATTCATTACTTTAGACTTATGTGCCCTCTAGAAGCTTGCATGCTGCAAATGAATGGCCCTTTATTGTGCCATCCCAAAGAGGCACAAAATCACTTTCTCTGACTTTTAAATTAAATGTTCCCTCCTGGTGGAATGACCATCTTCAAGAATCGGCTAAAAACACATCTCTTCCATCTTTATTTGACCCTCTAACTCTAGCACTCTCTATTTTAATTCTATTCTTTATTTTTTTTAAATGACCCCTTTTAGACTTGCTCTCTATTTATTTACTAACTGCTTGTTTTCTTAAAAAAAAAAAACTAACACTTACTTCTCTAATCTTTTTGCATTCTGTTTGTTTTCTTTTTATTTATTATACAATTATAATTCTGACTTTCTGACTTCTGATTACAAACGCAAAAAAGGCCTCTAACACTAGCTTGCTCTATTCTTTTTCTATTCTATCTGTTTTCTTTTTATTTATTATATGATTTAAAAAAAAAACTTGCTACGTGTACTGCATTAAGCTAACTGAGACTTGTTATAGCACTTGCATATCATTGCTCTTTTGTTGATTTTGATAAAAAAAATCATGGATAAAAGCGTCTGCTAAATGACTAAATGTAAATGTAAATATGAATATATAGTCTACATGTAATTATTTCTTAAATATATACATGTATATGTGTGTATTTATATATACATGTAAATATACACAGTACACACACATACATTAACATGTAAACATAAACATTTATTTTGAATTCGATTAATCGTGATTAATCACTTTGACACCCCTAATTTAAATGTAAGGATTTAAAATTAAAAACAGTTGAAATTGAGAGAAATTCATATAGCTGTAACAGTTAACTAGAAAAGCAAAGGTTGTCAATCTTTAAATGTCAGCTTCACAAAGCCTCATTTAAAAGGATAGATAGATAGATGTATTTAGTGTTACCTTTCTGTGTATTGCAATTTAAACTCCTCTTACTGTTATTCCAATTCAGATTCCTATTCAACTTCCTGTTGCGTGTGACCCAACCACTTAACTGAAAAGAAGCCAGTTCTTCAGTTCTGAAATTTGTGGAACCTTGGTGTCAGATCAGTGTCTGTGATTTTGTAGTTGGAAGTTTTCCTTTGCAATATTCAAATGTCAAACAACCCCTATGATAAAACACTTTTTGTTTTTGTTCCAGGTTCACCATATTCTGAGCCGGGATGTCCCGACATTGCTGAGGCCGGAGGAGGAGAGGGGTGGGGGATTCTGGGATTCTAGAGGTGGAGAGCGAGACATCATGGGTGATGGAGGGGCCTTGCACACGGAGGGCAATGCCCTTCTGAAAGCAGTGTTCCAGGGCAAGCTCCGCCTCGCTCGCCTGCTCCTGGAGGGCGGAGCCTATATCAATGAAGGGAACGAGCGAGGGGAGACGCCAGTCATAGCGGCCTGTCTGGCAGGATACGATGATCTACAGACCCGGCAGAGAATGGTGAGGTACCTGCTTGAGAAGGGAGCAGACCCAAACATCCCTGACAAATCGGGTCGGACCGCCCTGATGCATGCGTGTGCAGAAAAGGCAGGCAAAGAGGTGGTGTCGCTGCTGTTGGAAAATGGCGCAGATCCCAGCTTGAAAGACTATTCCGGGGCCTCTGCACTCGTACACGCCATCAATAAGGGCGACAGGGACACTCTTCAGGTCCTGCTGGATGCCTGCAAAGCCAAAGGTAAAGAGGTCATCATCATTACCACCGATACATCTCCCTCTGGCACTAAAAAGACCAAACAATACCTGAACTCCCCACCATCTCCGGGTATAGTGGACAAGCTTTCCCCTGCTTGCATGTCTCCATCTGAGGTAGAGATCCATACCTCTGGCTCTGCCCCCGGTGAGGAGGAAGGTATCTTCAGCTTTGCCGTGACTTCAGCACTCCCACTACCCTCGAACAGACCACAAGGGGAGAGGAGACCACCACCCCGTAAGCTTCTGAAAAGACTGAACTCTGAGCCATGGGGTCTGGTGGCTCCTTCAGTACTTGCTGAGAGAGCGGAGCGGATAGAGGGCGATTTAGCCGAGGAGGACAAGTTGGTCTCGGAGATGAATGGGATGACAGTTTCTGGTCCTGGCAGACCTCTCCTGTCCCGAAGGCACAGTATAGAGACCCATGACCCATCTTCTCCAAAGCTGATGGACCGGTCCTGTTCGGAAGACTGTGCAGCACTCTGTGGCTCTTCCTGGGCGGATAAAGTACATCAGCACCAGTCACTGTATCGTCGAAACACGGCCCCTGAGACTCAGGACAGTGTGGCTCAGGCACCGACAGGGATCCGTGGCTTACCACACCCCAAACTCACCCGCATGGAACACTACGAGTCGGACACCCACCTGTGTCCTGCCTCCATCCCTGGATCTCCGGATTCTGGACGTGTCTCAGTGGAGCGCCGCAAGTACAACGCCTCTCCCTTGTCACTGCTCACCAGCTCTTCTCGAGAGTCTTTGGAGAGCATTCCCAACTCGGTGTCTCCTATGACAATGCGGCGGCGGCCAGCAGGACTGTTGGAACGGCGGGGATCAGGCACTCTCCTTTTGGACCACATCTCCCACACAAGACCTGGGTTCCTTCCTCCTCTCAACATCAACCCTCAGCGACCCATTCCTGATATCCGTGCCAACGGAAAGCCCACTTCTCCTGTTCACTCAGGGAGCAAGATCCTGCTGCCAGTCGCGCCATCGTCACCAAAGCGTGGACCAGACTTCAAGATGAAGAAGAAACTGATGAGACGACACTCGATGCAGACGGAGCAGATGAAGCAGCTTTCGACCTTCCGGGAAATCCTCACAGAAAAGGTGATGGAAATGAATGGAGATTGAGAGCAAGAGAGAAGGAGAATGAGAGAGAGTCAGTGCTGGCCGAGAGTTTTCATTACTGGGTTCATCTACATCATCTTTGAGGCAAACATGCTCTGGTCCAGTTCAGCTCCTTTAGAACTTAGTACATACATCAAAAATATGCATTGTGGAGACAAAACCATCTTCAAATCCAGACAATGAAAGTGAAAATGAGTCACGGTCACTCAAGATCATAAAAAGGATCAGTTATTCCAAATTTGGAGACCATTCAAATGTTATTTGGGATTATTCCTTGATCATCAAGAATGCTTGAAGATGGACCCATTGGTGTCAATGGAAGTGCTGTTGGTGTTTGAAATTGCTGCAACCTTCAGATGAAACCTCGCAGATTTTGTATTCTACAGGTTTCTCTAAGTATTAGCGCTGTTATGGCTATCAGCCTTCTTAATGTTGTGCACTGTCTGAAAACAAATATGCCCAAATTGTACCTTTAGGGGCATAGCTAGTTGTTGATGGGGCACTACCCTTAAAAGGACAAATTTGTACTTTATCTACCCCTAAAAGGTGCATATTTGTACCTTAGAATAGTTCATAGGTATGTACCCTTAAGTTACTACTATGCATCTTTTTGAGGTAAATAAGGTACAAAGATGACCCAGTAAGGGTACAAGCTGTTTGTAATTTTTTTCTGTGATGATCCTGTGGAATAATTGGGTTAATATTCCTGAAAAAATGCACATCCTTCTGTTTTCCTTTGGTAACAACATCAAGTGAAGTTGAAAACTCAAATATTAATTTCTTCAGCCATTACAGTACAGCTAAATTGATTCAAGTAATTTTATTAAAATTGAATTTAAAGGTGATAATTTACTTGTAAATAATTGTGCTCAAGTCTTTTTAATGCAATATTTATTTCTGCGTGTTTGTTTTGCAATGAAGGTTAAGAATTGTAGTCCTTGAGTCCTTGACTGTTAATTTAGCAATGGCAACCTGATTTTTTCCACAGGATGTACACTAGAAAGTATTGGAGATGGCTGACTGCTAAATATTCCTGGAACAAATGATAGTGTTAGATGATGAACACATTTCTGAATAACATTTTATTGCATTATTAAAGTGCAATAAAATATTACAGGAATTAATTAACATAAAAGCATTTAAAAAGCTATATGACACCCCTAAAAGGTGCATATTTGTACCTTAGAATAGTTCATAGGTATGTACCCTTAAGGTACTACTATGCATTTTTTGAGGTAAATAAGGTACAAAGATGACCCAGTAAGGGTACAAGCTGTTTGTAATTTTTTTCTGTGATGATCCTGTGGAATAATTGGGTTAATATTCCTGAAAAAATGCACATCCATCTGTTTTCCTTTGGTAACAACATCAAGTGAAGTTGAAAACTCAAATATTAATTTCTTCAGCCATTACAGTACAGCTAAATTGATTCAAGTAATTTTATTAAAATTGAATTTAAAGGTGATAATTTACTTGTAAATAATTGTGCTCAAGTCTTTTTAATGCAATATTTATTTCTGCGTGTTTGTTTTGCAATGAAGGTTAAGAATTGTAGTCCTTGAGTCCTTGACTGTTAATTTAGCAATGGCAACCTGATTTTTTCCACAGGATGTACACTAGAAAGTATTGGAGATGGCTGACTGCTAAATATTCCTGGAACAAATGATAGTGTTAGATGATGAACACATTTCTGAATAACATTTTATTGCATTATTAAAGTGCAATAAAATATTACAGGAATTAATTAACATAAAAGCATTTAAAAAGCTATATGACTAAAAACAAAATTGAACCAGTTAAACAAACTGCATGTTTCAGGGCTTTTGGATGGGTCGTTTATCTTTCTTAAACGTGATACAAAATAAGAGAAGTGCAATTCTTGAAACTCAAAATTCCAAAGAAACTCTAAGCCCATCCAAAACCACACAGATCCACCCTGACCCGACTCAGTGGAGGGGGAGAGAGAAACCCCTAGCCTAACGCACACTCCCTCTGGAGACACCGAGCACAGATATTGTGTACATACTGTACAGAGTACAATTGTGTCTCAAGCGTTTGAACGTGCAATATTCTGTGCTGCCTCAGCACTGATTTCATATTATTATCGTGAATGTGAACAATCACTCGGACGTGTGTCTGTGGTAACATGCTGCAGTAAATAGTTCAAGACGAGCTGGGAGCTCAGTTTACATTCAGAGGAGGAATCTCTGCACAAAATACATGAGAATGAATTTCCCTAAAGAGCTGCAGTGCACAGTGTGTCCATGTCAAACACATAGCTCAACTCAAGCTTATGATGTGAGTGAATATAGTGCTTCTGCTTTGAGATGTTCTAAACTTGATGTGAATTAAACTTAGTGTACTAGAAATGTATCATGAAAACAAAAAGAGGAATATTTTTTTATGCCTGTAGGGTTTTATTCTTGTTGTTTTTTATTTTTATTGAAACAAATTTTAATGTTTAATACGGAATTGTTGGTGGTGCAGTTTCACTTTGATGGTAGCTTTTGTGTTCCAGGATGTTTGAAATAAATAATATATGAGCAGCCGGAGCTCAATGGCTATAGCAATGTTCCTGAAAACGATTGCGATAAAAGCCAACCGTCACCTGTTAAACTGACGGAATGAAATCCAGATCTCTGATTACCTAGCCCTTTGTCATCCTGATGCAATTAGGAGAATCTTGGCACTTTGCTGTGTATTCATTGATTTGAGTGATTCTCCTCTTTTCATTTAACACACAAGCAAGATAACCGTGAGTTTGATTTGTTTCTAAATATGTTTGTATCTAAGTATCTCCAATATTTCTGACCTGCTGTACAAAAACACCCATTTAAATGAGTTGAAACTGTATTCAAGTGTACCTGAAAAGATGTTAATAGTGTAATGGGTGTTTTAGGTGCTGTACACAATGGACCTCCGTCTGTGCTACACTGTCGTTGGGTAGTTTGAGCCGTACTCTGGTGTTCTGCTCTCCATTCACATAGAAGGGTCACAGTTACACTATCAATGCATCATTTAATGGATTATGGATTAAATATTTCTTGTTATTTTGTATGTTTAGTGTGAAACACAGGTCAAATGTAGTAAACCAAATAATTTTAAAATGTATTAAATTATTTAAAACAAAATGCTGTTGTGCTATTTCTCTGAGGCGATGATTTTCTTCAAGGGCTTTTAATTGCTTTGAATAAATGCATGACTGAGTCACCAATTTATTTTATACCAGTGGTTCTCAACTGGTATGTTTAAGGTTTGTTCTAAAAGGGTTGCGGATGGGGGAAAACAATGCTAAATTGTGCTTAATGCTAAAGCAAAACTTTGGAGAGTCAGTGCTCAGAACTCACTCATGACGGTGAATTTTTCTCTTCGGAAAGATATTCGTTTTGGTCTTTGAATTGACAGCATGACACTGCAAATCTGGTCATCATAAGGTTGTTTCTATATGTAAAATGAACAAAGTATTAATTTTGAGTACAGAAATGACTACATAACTAGGCAACATGTTCAGTCGACTGTTACATTGTATGCTAAGTGCTCAATGTGTTGTCAATTGAACGTACAGTATACACGCTAGGCCAAATGTGCTTTATAAAGCTTATTGTTAGTACTTATTACAGTTAAATCAAATATTCTGTCAGGCTAACAGGATGAGTTTTTGTGTGAAGTGAACATAATTTTTTTGTCATTTTGACATTTCTGAATATTTGTGTACACTACACTAAAATTGTGTGTCATGGATGAGTGTATAGTGGTGAATGGAAGACTACTTTTTGTTGATTTAAAATATATATTTTTTTATATATACAGTGGGGCAAAAAAGTATTTAGTCAGCCACCAATTGTGCAAGTTCTCCCACTTAAAAAGATGAGAGAGGCCTGTAATTTTCATCATAGGTATACCTCAACTATGAGAGACAAAATGAGAAAAAAAAATCCAGAAAATCACATTGTAGGATTTTTAAAGAATTAATTGGTAAATCTGATTCTCATTTTGTCTCTCATAGTTGAGGTATACCTATGATGAAAATTACAGGCCTCTCTCATCTTTTTAAGTGGGAGAACTTGCACAATTGCTGGCTGACTAAATACTTTTTTGCCCCACTGTATATATATATATATATAGAGAGAGACTGATTACAGTAGTCCAATTTACAGTCACTCTGCTAATATAAGTGCATAAATATCTTAATACAAATATCTTTATCTTATTATCCTTATTCTAATATATTTATTCTATTATTATACTACTATTATACTTACAAAAATTAAAATGACACATTACACATTCCTTATAAATATCTTAATACAAATGCAAATATCCTAACTAAAACTTAACACAAACATCTAGAACAAAGTATAAATATAAATAATATTTAAGGTGCAAGGTGGTATCAGGACACAAGACACCAAGGCCAAAGTGGAGGGATGGAAAGGCCACTAATGTCAGCCTGCCAGACGCAAAGCCGACCGAAGACAGAAAACAACAGAGTGGCCGTGACAGGGAGTCTTACTCCACGACCTGAAACAACAACATAAATCAGTGTCATTAATCTAAGTATATTAGTACATTTTGAGTAAATTTGATTGATTATATGAACAAAACATTTAGCAAATCATAGACTCTAATGGTAGTACCATAAGCCAGTCATGGAGCTGCATCTCTTCCAGGATGAGTCTCCGCTGCGGATCAGCCTGCAGACAAGCATGGATCATCTGGCAGCATTCTGTCCAAAAAGATGAGAGAGATGTCTGATTATTAACCAATACAGTATGTTACACCTTTTATATTTATATTTCAAATGGTATACTTTCATATTTAGAATTCAATTTGTCCAGCTTTGTTCTTTGATGAAGATCTCACCTTGTGACAGGTCAGGGTCCGACCAGTCGATCTTACTGATCCTGTGCAGGTCTTTCTCGTCTGGATAATACCCGCACACCATCACGAACAGCAGCATCCCCAATGACCAAACTGTTGCCGGCTTTGCGTGGTACTTGCCGTCGAAATCAAACTCCGGTGGACAGAACATGTCTGCCTAAAAGGAAGAGATTTTGATATTTAATTCATTTCGAAGACATTTACAGCAGGAGTTAAACAACCCGCTAGCAAATCATCAAGCATACCATTGAAGGCCATGTAGGCGGAGTCCTTCATGAGTGTGCCGCACTCGAAGTCGATCAACTTGACCTCCCACGTGTCCGGGTTCACCAGGAGGTTCTCCAATTTTATATCTCGGTGGAAGATGCCGCGCTCACAGCAAGTGTTAGCGGCATGAATGACCTGCCACATAACATGTCTTGCCATCTTCTCATCGAGCCTTTGTCGGAGCTTCACTAAATTAAACACACTCATGCAGGGCATGGGCCGCTCCAAGACCATTACGTAGTGGTCTGGGTCGTCCTGCCAGTCCAGGAGTTTGATTATCTGCGGGACACTGGGGCCCTTATTGGCCATGAGTGTCAGGCCGATCTCCAAGGGGAGGCGTCTGGGATGACCAGGCTAAAAGAAAGAATATATGATGCTTAGATGGAGGTGCTTTCTCAGATTAACATGAATATGAGATGTTAGAAACGGGAAACAGTGACTGAGAAGCAATAATATAAAGAGCGCAGGCTACTTACAACTCTGATATATGGCGTATT